ACCTTAGGTGTACATGGCTGGCGCCTTAGCCAGTTGAGCCATAGGCTCTGAGCCCCACTAAGTCTTAATAGGGACCATTTGGTTTTCAAACCAGGATTTCTCAACCATGCATTGACATTTTGGACAGGATACTTCCTTGTTGTTGGGGGCCTCTCTGTGCATTCTAGGATGTTGAGCAGTATCTTTGGTCTCTACCCACTAGATGGCAGTAGGATAGCAGTAGGAGGACAGTACCCTCTTACCCCACCCCCCAGTCCCCATCTCCAGATGTTGCTAAATGTCTACTAGGGGGCAAAAATCACCCCATCTGGTACAGCGAGTCTTCCATCCTCCCTCTGCCCTCCCCAGTGCAGATAGGCTAGGCAGGGGTAGAGGCCAGGAACTGCAGGTTTAATTGGGGCCAGAAGGAGGGAAGCCTCAGAGGAAGCTAGGGCAAGCACAATGGAGGGAGAGCATGCCAGCGGACTGACTGATGTGGTTTTACTCCAGAGGGAGGGAGTTTTCCAGAACACACATTCCCGGATTCCCAATCAGTCATAAGAGGGGCCAGAGTAGCTTCTGGGACAGACAGCCCCGGCTTTCCCGGAACAAGCAGAGGGGGTGTGGGAGTGGTGCTGTCTGTGTAGGGGATTCTTTCCTTCTGTAGCTGTTTTCCTGGCATCATCGAGGGCCCTGTCTGATTAGTTGAAGGCTGGAGGGGAAGAACTTTCCAGCTGTGGGTGCATGGGTTTCTAGAGGCCTCCTGATAATGGCATCATGAGGATGTTTGAGTTTTAAAGGCTGGAATTAAGGGCTCCTTGGAGGTTGTGGGTACACACCCCTTAGAACTGGAGACTGGGAGGGTGTCCTCATCATTACAAGTCACCTTTTACTTGGAGGTGGCGGGACCTGAGGGAAGACAGAAGATGGAAGGCCTAAGAGGAGAGACGGAGGAAGGCTGGGCGGTTAGAAGGCAATTTCCCCGTCCTCATCCCTGCAACTCACTCCACCAGGAGGCTCAGAACACCCAGAAGCAGGACGGCTCCGCAGACAAAGAGGAGCAGAATCCTGGCTTCCCAAAGATCATGACTTCCTGTAGGGCCCCCGGGAGGCAGTAAACAATCCTGAGAATCACACTCATCAACAGTGAGGGAGCCTAAGGGCTCAGGGATGGGGGTGGGGTGGGGAATAAGGACCTGGGAAGCAGCGCTTTCGCGGCCAGCAGGACACTTCAGCGCCCCGGCAAGTAGAGCAGTTGTACAGGATAGTGCTGCCCCCTGCAGGAAACAGCGGGAGCAGCGCTAGGGAGTGGTAAGACCAAGCCTCTACCCTTCCTGGGCATATCTGTCTCCGCCCTGTAGCTGCCGGCCTCTCCTTCGGCACCCTGGAGGCCCAGGTCCTCACCACCCCGTTCCTTTTCTACTCACGACAAGCAGGAGCACAGAGAGCTGAAATGAAAGACAAGGAAGGGGTGGAGGGTGGGTGAGCCTGTCAGCCACTTGCCCGTTTACCTAAGTTCCCAAGCACTCCTAGAGGCCCTTCCTGTGTTAGTACCTTCCCTGGTGTAATCAGGGAGCTTGGTCTTTTGAAGCCATTGCCAATATGAAGGGAGTGAAGAGAGAGCCTCTTTGATCTCTGGGGAAGCAGAAAGCAGTTACATCACCCTGGGCCTCAGTGGTCCAGTTCACCCCATCCCTGCCTCTCAACCCTCCTTGGTGTCCTCCCAAGACCCCAGGTCACAGCTCCCCCTTTGCCCTCACCTATGACCCTCAGGACTCTGTGAGTCTTCTCTGTGACTTTGTTCAGGGTCACCTCATCTGTGGAGATGGACCAGAGATTCCCTCACTAGTCCAAGAGAGGTCTTGGGGTCTCTCCTGACCTTTCTAGGATCTGGAGCTCCCCTAGACGGAGAGGCCCTTGTGTCCAGAGAGAGCTATGAATGGCTGAGGGCACAGTTAGGAATTCACATGCTGCCCTTCTCAGGGTACAGGGCTGATGGTGCTGGACCTGCCCCCTAGATTTCTGGTCTTACCTAAGGCAAAGGCAGAGAAGTCTGGGGAGGCTTCACATTGCTTCCACTGGGCCTTCATCTGGCTACAGAGTTGAGCCAGGCGGCCTGACAAGTCGTGGGCTGGGAGGCGGCAAAAGACACAGGCCTGAGCAGCTGCCAGGAAAACTCCACCTAATGCCAGCATCCACATGAGGATCACTTTGGGGAGAATGCTGGCCCTATCTGGGCTGAGAAGGCCTTAGAATGCTCTGTGATACTGGCTCCACCCCTTTGCTTGGAGGTTCTAGAGTGTTTCAGAACAATGCTACTGCTCCATCCTTGGCTGAAGTAAAGTTGGGGCCCATGGAACTCCAGCTCCAGCCCCATTACTAATCAGGACTTACCTACCTCCCTCATGCCAATCTAGGAAGGGGTATGGCCTTTCTGACTCCCTCAGTACATGGCTTGGGACACAGCAAAGATTCCCCCTGCCCTTGTTCCAGAGTGTTCTGGCCTCTCATTGGGCAGGCCAGGCTAGGCCACCCAGCTTTAGGAAGAGAAGCCATGGTCCAGGAGGCCAGAAGGAGTCATCTCTAGTAGGAGAGATGAGCAGAGAAAATAGGGCTTCTGTTGCAAGGGGCCCTCAGCAGCCTTTACACATTTGTGTTTCCAAAAGCAATTTTATTTTCCTTCTTATAAATCATGACCAGTAATAAATGATGAGTGACACCTCCAGTGAAGAAGTTGTGCATAAGTATCTCATCCTTTCCTTTGTCTTCCCCACTCTCCCAAACTGCTCATCTCTTCCCTGCCCTGGGCAGGCTTGGCCTCCCCCAGCTGTCTCCTAGCAACAGACCCATGGTTGCCTCAGCAACCAAGAGTTCCATACAGGCCTCAGAGGCCTAGCTAAGCCCAGTGACTTCTTTTACCTCTCCCCAAGAAGATCCCAGTGACCTAAACCCCAACAGGCCTTTCCTGCCTGCCTGCTGATGTGTGTACATTCATGAACACAAACACACATGTATATACACACCCTGTAATTAAACTACTCATTCTCAATTTACTTACACACATACCACAGACACACCTTGTGGCAGAACAGTTGCTGGGTAACCCCAAATAGGCCTGGACATGCAGCGACCACAGAAGGATCAGCACATAGACACCATAGCCAGCAATACAGATGGAGATCCACACATTAGTTAGACAGACTGGCTCACACACACAATGAAGGAAGTAAGACCAGGACCCAAAAGATAGCCACCTCCTCCCATGGCCAGCCCCAATCTCCATATGAGATCTGTCTAAACACTTGAAATTCCAGAGAGGTACTCCAGCCCCATTGCTAAGGTGGACTCTCCTAGCTCCCTTAAACCAATCTAGGATGGGGTGTGGTCTTTCTGTCTCCCTCCACAGCAAAAAACACCCCTGCCCTTGTTTCAGAATGTTCTGGCCTCTCATTAGGAAGGCCAGGCTAGGCCACCCAGCTTCAGGAGGAGAAGCCGTGGTCCAGGAGGACATATGGGAGCAATATAAAGTCCCTTCTTTCCCTCAGACCTCAGAGTCCCTTTGCTGTTCTGCCATGCCTAACTTGGACAAAGAGGTGGGCCCCACTTTTCCAGACCTCTGAATACTGAGCTCCAAGGAGAGATTGGAGGTCCCTAGCCTTAGATGAGACCAAGTCAAGAAAACTTTCCATGCCCATCCTAGGATCAGCACCAGTCCAGACCCTCTGGACCACTTGTGAGCTCTCAGTGGGCTCAGGTTTGGGAATTCCTGTCCACATCTGGGCTCCAGTAAGGCACAGTGGGATCCCTGACTCTCACAGCTCCTGAGGCAGAACTAGAAAGGCTTCAGGGCAGCCTCTTTCTGTTAGCAACGCCATTCCCTTTTCTCCCCACAATCAAACTGAGGACAGCATCCTCAGTGGCGGACAAAGCGCAGAGACCGGGAGTTGAGCAGGTCTTCAGGATCAGGGAACACGGAGTCTAGACGGAAGCTGTGTTCCAGAGCTACACGCAGCACCTCTTCTAGGAAGCTTGGTGTGCCCACTACCTCCCGCTGCTCTCCTGGGCCCCCAGTCCATAGGGGCTGTAGCCCCAGTCTCCCATACTCCACTTCAGGGAGTTCTGCAGGGCGGGGAGCCCACTCAAGATGAAAATGTGGGCCCCCCTCTGCCCTATCTCCACTGGTCACACCAAATCGGGCCCGCATAGCACCCAGACACTCAGGATCAGTGCAGAAGAGGTTTGCCCGGAAAGTGTCCACCTGGACAGAGCTCAGCTCATAGTGGTGTGGGCCCTGGCGAGCAGAGAAGTGCACCTGACGTGGGCTGACATCTACATCTACATGGAGCAGGGCAGCTGTGGGTGCAGGGGTCCCTCGAGAGGCCTCCAGCTCCCGCAGGGCATCCAGGAGGGGCCGGATCTGGTAGAAGTCAGCTTCTGCTCTGAGAAGTGCTGTCTCTCCGTACCCTCGGGGCAGGTCCAGACGGCCTAGCCTTAGGAAATTGAGAATATGCCTGAAGGCCTTGCCATCTCGGTCAATGAAATAGTGTCCACCTTCTTGAGGACTGAGAGGCATAGGGGTATCAGCTCTAAACATTGCCCCCAGCATGGAGTCTGGGAAGCGGGTCAGGGTCTCCAAAGTGGTGGAATATAGTGTGCCCCCCACATTCAGGGTCACAGGGCCCCCAAAAGAGGGGGGCGGAGAGGACACAGGAGGAGGGGAAATTTTGGGAAGTATAGGAAACTTCAAAAGAGAAAAAAAAGGCAGAACTTCCTAGGAGTGTGCAGAATTGGGTGGTAACTTTCAGACTTGCTGTGCTGGAGTACAAGGCAACAAGGTTTAGAGCTCACCCAGTTACTTTGGTGGTGATCTGGGGGCTGGTTTCAGGGCACGGAAATCCCCAAAAGGTTGAGAGGGAAGAGATGAAAACAGCAGAGAGAAAGGGAGTTTTCGGTCCAGACGTTAACTAATTCTGGTCAGCGACTCCGTTCTGTGGTCTTCAGACAGTGGGCTTCTGGAATCCAACCAGCAGGTGACGGTGACGGTGACGGTGACGAGCACAGCGCCGACGCTGAAGGGGCCAGCTTCCGAGTTCCCTGGCAGATCGCTGTCGCCGCTGTGGGCTAGTCCACGCAGTCCAGCCGGAGGCCTTGCCTAACTCTCGGTGCGGTTCCCAGGAGATGAAGACAAAGCTGATGGGAGTGGAGCCGCCCTATATCGGTTTGGGGGCGACGATGCGCGCTCAGTCCGAGCTGGGAGTGTCCGTGGGCTTCCGTGGAAGAAGCCGGGAATCTAGAGACCCGGCCACCACCGCCTCCTCTGGGTGTTGCCACAGCCGCTGAGGTCCTCTCCGCCCCCAGGAAGTGGCCCAAGGGCAGCGGCTGCCCCGGGCCCTTTAAGAGGCAGCCCCGCCTCCTGGCAGCCCGCCCCCATCCCTCGCGGCTCGCGGTTTGCGGCTGGGGTGGAGGTGGGAAGTGGGAGGCGAGAGTCTTGAACTGGAGAGACGGGGCGGACAGGCTGGACTGGCGGACGCAAGCAGGTTTGGGGTGACTCAGTCGCGTCGCCCCGGATGTGGCCGCGACGGTCCTACTGCTTCTCAGGTGTGCCAGACCTCGCGTCTGCAACTTTGTGGGGCCCGAGTCTCTTATCCTCCCACTCTGAGAAAACCGTAGCCGGCCCACCTGGGCCAGGGTTCCATTTCCCTCCTAGTAGCTCCCATGGGGAATTCCGGAGGGGGCGGGTGCTGAGTCGCCGGATTCCGGGAATGCCTCGCGGCCCGAGCTTTCTCTCTCCATCCCGGCGCGGTGCCAGCTCACTCTAAGGGAATGCAGGTCCTCATCCCACGCGAGATGCCTCTCTTCGGAGGGGCAGGTCTAGCCAGGACGCCTGAGCCCGATTGCCCCCCTGGCGCTAGGGCTGAGGCTGAAGCTGACACCTCATTCCCCGAGAGTCTCACCTCTTGCCTGACTCAAACTACACTACGGCTCGGCGCCTGTAGCTCAAGCGGCTAAGGCGCCAATACACCAGAGCTGGTAGGTTCAAATCCGGCCCAGGCCTGCCAAACAACAAAGACAACTACAACCAAAAAACAGCCGGGCCTTGTGACGTGCGCCTGTAGTCCCGGCTACTTGGGAGGCTGAGGCAAGAGGATAGCTTAAGCCCAGGATTTGGAGGTTCCTGTGAGCTGTGATGCCACATCACTCTACCCAGGGCGATAGCTTGAGGCTCTGATTCAAAAAAAGAAAAAGAAAAGAAAAGAAAAGAAAGAAAGAAATGAACTAAGAGAGGCAGCGCAAAGAAAAAAGGTTTAATGGAGGAGGGGCGGGTGGTGGGCTGGGGGCGCAGGGCCTGGGGTCACAGTGTGTGGAGGTCATAACTACGTCGGCTCAGCTTCTCTGGGTCATCCGATGCCATAAGAGAGAAATCGCGGAAGATGTCAAGATAGGTTTCATCTCCTGTGGGGTAGGGATGGAAAGCTGGGGAGGCTGGCTCGGCAGCAGAGGCCGGTGGCTTCAAGCTTGAGTGGGAACGTCTGCACCCTGAGTGCAGTGCCCGCACCTATTCCTTGCTCCCAGGGCTTGGCCCCTTGGATACTCCCGATACATATTTGTATAAATAATGGAATTAATGCAGTTGGACATGAGGGGGACCGGTTACCAGGGGCCAGAAAGAAGCCCAAAGTTCTGGGTGGCGCCTGTGACTCCGTGGGTGGGGCACTGGCCCCATATACAGAGGATGGCGGGTTCAAACCCGGCTCCGGCCAAACTGCAACAAAAAAATAGCCAGGCATTGTGGTGGGCGCCTGTAGTCCCAGCTACTCGGGAGGCTGAGGCAAGAGAATCACCTAGGCCCAGGAGTTGGAGCTGTGTGATGCCACTGCACTCTACCGAGGGCAAAAAGTGAGACTCTGTCTCTACAAAAAAAAAAAAAAAGGCCAAAGTTCTGTCCGGTGCAGGCCCTGGGGTTGGGTGGGAGGAGACTTTACCTGCCTGGCCCTGAGCGGCTTCAGCCTCCCTCATCTTTGCCAATCGTAGCCTGAAGGGGAGGAAATTAAGAAATGAATGATATAATCCTCACTGTACCCTAACTCCCTGTCTTTTGAGCTGGGTTGTGTGTCTTGCCAGGGTTGAATGCTTAAAAGGTGACTGAAGGGGACTGTTGATACGTAAGTGATGCCTCTCAGGATTAAGTCACCAACGTTCGACCCTGCCCACCACCTTTCTGCTCCATGCCCCAATCCCTACTTGGAGCATCCTTTCTCTCGCCTGGCCCAGGTGCTGGACCCCCTTCCACAGACCCCACCTGGCATGCTCTAGGCTTTAGGCCTGTCCAAAAGGATGGGCCAAGGGCTAGCCCCGCCCCTTCAGCATTCTCACAGAGTGACGATGTCAGCATTGGCGGTTTCCATGGCGATGGTCAGAGGATCCCTGCCTTCAGAGTCTCGAGCCCCTAGATCAGCCCCCCGTTTCAGGAACAGGCAGGCAAGCCTGGAAGGGATAGCTGGGCTCAGCCACCGCTCACACCCATGGGCTCCCTCCCCCTGGTTGTATCATCCTTGCTGTCCTACCCTGTGTAGCCAAGAATGGTTGCATGGTGTAGTGGGCCCCGGCCTGCACTATCCGCTTGGTTCACGTTTGCCCCATTCTGAAGCAGAAACTCACAGGCCAGAAGAGAATTCTACATGGAGAAGTTGAGAAGGAGAAGTAAGGGTGCTCCATTGCAAAATATTTTAGGGAGGGGTGGGGTGGTAATTAGGAGTATGTGTGGGTGTACAGTGAAGTGTCAGACATATGTATTCATTCAACATTAAATCCATAGGACACATTGGTTTTTGTTTTGTTTTGAGTCAGGGTTTTGCTCTGTTGCCCAGGCTACTGAGATGGTAGCATAACAGCTCATAGCAACCTCAAAGTCCTGGACTCAAGGGATCCTCCTATCTCACCCTCTCCAGTAGCTGGGACTGCAGGCATCTGCCACAATGCCTGGCTAGTTTTTCTATATTTTAGAGAGATGGGGTTTAGCTATGTTACCCAGGCTGATCTCTGGGGCTAAAGCAATCCTCCCACCTCAGCCTACTAAAATACTGGGATTACAGGGTGGTGCCTGTGGCTCAAGGAGTAGGGTGCCAGCCCCATATACCAGAGATAGTGGGTTCAAACCCGGCCCTGGCCAAAAATTGCAATAATAATAATAATAATAATAATAATACTGGGATTACAGGTGTGAGCTACTACATGAACAAAGCCCATAATACAAGTTTATGAGGTATGTTATCCTTATTTTATAGATGAGGACACAGAGGCACAGAGACGTTAATAAGTTGTTTGAGGTCTCTTCTAAGTGATGAGAGCCTGGATTTAGACACAGGTTCTCTGCCTCCAAATCACACACTCTTACCAATCAGTCTACAGTGATTATCCCTCTCTATGGGTGGGGGCCCCAGGGAGCAAGTGAGGGTAAGAGCTGGGCCCAGTGTCAGAGAGGAACCTTAGGGTGGGACAGAGAGGTTGGCAAGGCTCTCACAGCAGCTGTGGCCTGGATCAGCGGTGTGGCATTCTCTTGACCCCCATTGACCCAGTTGACATCAGCTCCATGGGCAAGGGCATCAGCCATGGTGGGAAGGGATGGAGGATGTCCAGCAGCTCGAAACAGCAGGGCCCCAGGGTGCAGGCTTTCTAGGTCATCAGAGGAAGGCTCTGCTAGGGGAATTTAGTTCTGTTAAGGGGAATCATCAGCTTTGAGTCTGGGAAGAAAACCCTCAGTATACTCCCCTGATGTTATAATGGGATAGGTTACTTCTAAATTGTAGGGAAGGCTTCGTGACCCAGGACTGTGGTAGGAGATGAAGGGATGTGGGTGTGAGTATGTGTAAGTATATATATATGTGTGTACAGGGCCCTGGGGTTTAGGTGAGAGATGGCATCATTCACCTTATTCTGTCCAACCACTCTGGCTAGAATGTCACAGGTGACTGACTCTTCCTGACACTTTGTCTCAGCTGCTCTAGCCAAATGGACACTCTCCTTCTCAGGCCTTTGGAGATCCTAAATACTCCTGCTCTCCTTATGTTGTTGACACTCTTAGTCTTCCCTGCCTAATCCAAGCCGCACTCTTCCCACACTCTTCCCATTCTTAGTGTCAAACTTCACTGTAACTCCCTGAAACTACAGTCTGGTTCTTCTAACATTCTCAAGGGGAAGAAGGCCTATGCTTCCCTACAAGGCTTGGCACAGGGCTGAGCATACAGTAGGAGCTCATTTAATAGCCAACCAATTCTATACCTGGCTTGGATCTGAAGCTCCCTGGCCGGGGCCTGATGGAAGGTTTTGGGGGCACAGGAGGATGTCCCCTTGGGGGCCCCCGGCCACCTCTTCGCCCTCGAATTTCAGGAAGTTTGGTCAGGAACTTCTTCTCCACATATTTAGCATGAATCCAGGCTTCCTTCTCCTGTCTGGGGGAGGGAGAAAAGGGGAAGGTCTTCCAGGTCACCTTCCCTTTCCCTCCATGGAGGGTAGCTACAGGCAGCTCCACCCCAACCTCACCGGGAACAGCTGGGCCCTGGCTTCTTCACTGCCAGTGCCTCCACACGGGCCTCATAGATCTGGTTGATGACAACATTTCCCAGCTCGCACATAAGCTTCAGGAGGCCCAGGCAGAGGCAGAGATAGACAAAGAGCATAGAGGGTGAATATGTGGATCCTTAGAGATCTTTAGTCCTTTGTCCTCAACTTCCTAATGTTTACATTTCCCCAAGTTACCTTCACTAGTTCTGGCTCCCATGAGTCAAGGGTCAGAGATCGGACTTTGGAGAAGTGAACACCAAGGCTCCTAGAGGGCCAGAGGGGCAGTCAGGCTCTCTGTGAGGCAGTGGCCTGGGGAGGCAAGGTCTGCATGTCGAGGTATAACAGAGGAGGCAGGACAGCTGGGGCCAGGGGACCTTGACCTGGCTCTTGGGGATGCTGCCTGTTAACTGTTCCTTCTTCCTTTTCCCCTATATTTCATTTTAAGGCCCTCATCCTCTCTAGCCATTCCTTTCTCTTAGGGCACTCAGGCCTGGACAACTCTTCCCAGGCTATCACCTTCCCTCCTTCTACTACCCTGTCTAGGGCAGAGTCTTCTAGATAGGCTAAGGCCTCATGATCCCTTCTCCTCTATCTGGTCTCTCTCTCTTTTTTGGAGACAAGAGTCTTGCTCTGTCACCCATGCTGGAGTGTTGCGACACCATCGTACCTCACTGTAAAGTCAAACTCCAGGGCTCAAGTAATCCTCCTGTCTTAGTCTCTGAGTAACTGGGACTATAGGCATGTGTCACCAGTCACCATGCACAGCTAAATATTTTTATTTTTTATAGAGATAAGGTCTTGCTATGTTGCCCCGGCCAGTCTCAAATTCCTGGGCTCAAGCAATTCTCCTGCCTTAGCCTCCCAAACTGCTGGGATTATGGACATGAGCCATCACACCCAGCCTCTACATCAGTGGTTCTCAACCTGTGGGTCATGACCCACAGGGACTGTATTAAAGGGCCAACGCATTAGGAAGGTTGAGAACCACTGCTCTACATGGTCTTCCTTGGCTCCTCTACCCTCAACAGCCTTGCCCCTACACTTCCTCCAGCCAACCCAATAAACTTTTTTTTTTTGAGACAGAGTCTCACTATGTTGCCCTCAGCAGAGTGCTGTGGCATCACAGCTCACAGCAACCTCAAACTCTTGGGCTCAGCCTACCAAGTAGCTTGGACTACAGGCGCCTGTCACAACACCTGGCATTTTTCTGTTGCAGTTGTCATTGTTGCCTAGCTGGCCTGGGCCGATTTCGAACCTGCGGTTCAGTGTATGTGGCTGGCATCGCACCCCAATGAACTCTTCTGAGTGTTCCCCAATTCTGCCAAGGCCAGGACATTGAGGGCTGGGCCCAGCTGGTCTATCTTGTACTCTATAGGCTCAGGCCGAGGCCTGATGCACAGTGACAGCCAGAATCTAGGCGGGGAAGGTAGGATAGGAGCCTGTGTAATGGGTTCCATCTTAGCGAGCTAAACCACGTATGAAAGTAGCAGGGCTCATGCTTGGTGCCTTGAGGAGTGACCTGTGAATGCCGGAGCACTGGATGCAGAGGGTGACACCAAGGTTGATGCTGGCCCACTCTGGGGCTGGCTCCCGGCAGTCACAGCACTGGGCATTGCCATCCACACTCTGTACCTGGGCTGCCACGTGCCCAACTCCTCCTGACTCCCTTCCCCTGGCCATCCTGCCACAGCCCAGGGTGGCAGCAGAGCCCACAGTCAGGTGTCCTGAACCCTGGAGAAGACAAGGAAAAAAAGGGTGCCAGTAGGCTTAGAGTAAGAGATGCCCCATCTACCAGGGCAACCTGACCCTGCACCCCCAAGTTAAAGTACCTGGCCTTGACCCCGGGGGCTGTCATCAAGGTGAGCCTGGCTGAAGGCAGAGGCGATGCTACTCTGCACAGCACTGACCCACAGCTGTAGGAGGCGTTCTGAGTCAGCCTGGAGGAGGCAGGACCTGGAAATGGTGGAGGGGTCTGAGGCCTTGGGGAGGAAGGTGGTAGGATGGGCAGGCCACTGTTCAACCCATTCCAGCTGCAATGACATACTCTGTACCAATTGGTAATATCCTCCCAAATATCTCCCATCACCTTGGACCCTCTCCCCAAGTGACCCCCAATCCAGCCATTAAAGTCTTAAAGCCTGGAATTGCATGGGGGTCTCTATGGTGGGTGACACTGCCTTTCAGGTTGATTAAATGTTTAGAAACATTAGAGTATCATCCCTGAGGACTGCACGCACTTGCTGGTTGACACCACCTCAAAGCAGAACCTCCTTTCTGAGTCAGGACAGAGCTTTACTGTGCAGAGGCGAAGGTCATCCACCACCACAGTCACGGGGTCCTAGCAGGAGAAGGTGATAAGGGGTCAGACCTTCAGCTGCAGGCAAGGGCTGAGTCTCCCTGGGGCCCAGGCATCCAGGATCCAGGCCTACTCACCTTGTACTTCTTCTGATAAACCAGTTGGTTGTTCTGAATGGTGAACCAGCGTCTGTAGGAGGTAGAAATAGTTACCTGGCACAGGCAGCTTTGGGATGAGGCACAATACAGGGACAGAAGAGAGGCTGTGCCCTTTGCCCCATAAGGATCTTGCTGAAAGGAGAGAGACCTGGACTGTCCCATGAGACATTCCAGATGTGGGTGGATGGTTGCGCAGATTGGGATATCTAAGGGGTGCTATTTACACCTTGGACAACCCAGATTTGATATTTATGAAGACAACTTTCCAGTAGATGGCAGTAAAATTCTTTTTCTTTCTCTTTTTTTTTTTTTTTTTT